GTGAGCTATGGACAAATGTCATGCAGCTGCTCTAAAATGAACACAAGCCCAGGGAAGGTTATTGCAAAACAAATTTGTTACACTTTAAGGTGCCCCCAGGACATTTGATCATAATAGAGAAATGTGAGTAATGAAGGGATTAATAGTTCTTCATCAAAACACAACACTAAGTACACCAAACCAAAAGTGTTAAATTCATGATGGGCAGAAAATACAAAATGGCAGCCACTGGTGAACAACTACTGGGAAGTTGCACATGAATTGGAAGCTGCTCATGAATTGGGCACCACGGACCAAGCCTCCTTGCCTTCCATTCTGCCACAGTTAATGACACCCAAAATTTGCGGCCTGGTGTAGGCCATTTTCACTGTGCCTCATGGTAGAGCCACTTCTCCATGAAATATAATGAGCATTACCTTTTGGGGAAGGTGGTGCTTTCTTTTTAGGCTTTTCTTCCTTTGCAGGTTTCTCTTTGGGGGGTTCTAAAAAGGAACAGACACGATACAGCACTTATACAAAAAACAGCAGCTGAAATCCATTTGTTTCAGTGGGTCTACTCCAATTTAATTGGGTACAATCCTATTTACATTTTACATATCACCTATGAAAATCCACATGTGTAGGATGGTCTATGTTATACACTCTATGCAATGGCAAAAAGCCAGAGATGCATTCACATACTTTTAAAAGCAAACAAACCAACCAAATCCCACCAATCAGCTGCTCAGGAGGGCATTGGGGGTGTGGATTCAGTGATTGCAATCTAACCCGAAATCTCTCCAAGGAGAGAAATTTCAGAATTTAAACTAAGTATATAGGCTCAGCTACAGCTCATCTTTACACCTCTGTTTGACTGCAGTCATACGTCTGAACTTCTTTACAGCAGAGAGGGTTATTTGAAACAACCAGAAATTAAAGCTCAACACAACATAAATATGGATTATCACATATGCCTGTGCCACACAGACGCTGATAATGAGAACTGGAAATCCTTTTAAACCCTGGTTTATCCATTGAAGTTATTTCAGACAATAGCTGTTTTGTCAATCGATAATCTCATTCCCTGCAGGGTATGAACTTTAACCCCAACTGGCCACTGCAAATACTGAAACATGATTATGCTGGAAGGAAAGTTTAAATTCGATAAGCTAAAATGAAAAATGACCGTAAGTGCTCCTGCAAATACCACATGTCCACTTGCCTTAAGCAAGTCATTTCCTTTTCAGGCAAATACAATGTAATTAGTTTTTCTTTAATTATCATCCATCAACCTTGGAAGTAGAGCACGAGTGGATTCTGTGCCTGGGAGAACACTGTGTTTTCATGACAATTTCATGGAATAGTCATATAACAGGTACCCAATGATTTCTGTAGAATCAGTTAACATAACATTGGACAAGTTACCCCACCTGAATCTTAGAACAGGTATCATTTCCCTATCCCATGAATCTTGAAAATACTCATGGGAACAACTTCATCGTCATTTCCATTTTCCAGATGGAGATCTGAAGCTGAGGAATCAGCTCAGTTCGTTCTCGGCCATAGTTCCCATTCATTCCAATGAATGGCACTTGTGCAGGAAGCACTCTTGGTGCATCGTGCCTTTGGTCAATAAGATATAATTCTAGCTATATGTAGATAAAAGTGCTTTTACTTTTCTGAGCCAATGTGAGGTATGCCCGTGAAGCCATGCACCTAAAAATGATTGACAGTGTGCACATGCATTGAAAACTTGTAATTTGTTACTCAAGTCCCTAAAGAATAAGGCAGTTAACATTTTACATAACGCTTATCTATAAACAATCCGGCAATCACTAAATTAATTAGCATATCCCCCCTCCCCATCTACTGCCACTGTTGCAACCAGGCTGGCTCATTATCTTATTTAATTAAAACTAGTGTTTCATATATATGTTTTCACCTCACTGGCCTTCCCATAATTTTGAAAGCTTGAAACTAATCAGATAAAGTTTTAGGCTTTGCACATAGGAATTTTTAAATCTGAAAACAACTGCAAAAAAGTCTCTACTCTCTTGCAGCTGAAAGTGCTAGCTTCCTACAAAAAGCAGCATTGTGGCTTGATCCCCATATCAAATAGGGAGCCATCTGAGAAGGTTTGCCACCATCAACAGTCATTCATACAAATGAGATTTACAGCTACAGCAAATCCTGTTCCCAGCTGATAGGAGGAGTGTCCCTGTTCAGCAGCCTTGTAGCACACTCTGGAGCATGGGTAGGCAAACTAAGGCCGGGGGGCCGGATCCGGCCCAATCACCTTCTAAATCCGGCCTGTGGACGGTCCGGGAATCAGCGTGTTTTTACATGAGTAGAATGTGTCCTTTTATTTAAAATGCATCTCTGGGTTATTTATGGGGCATAGGAATTTGTTCATCCCCCCCAAAAAAAATATAGTCCGGCCCCCCACAAGGTCTGAGGGACAGTGGACCAGCCCCCTGCTGAAAAAGTTTGCTGATCCCTGGAGTATACAGGGTCGGGCGGTCGTAGGAGGAAAGGAAGTTTGCATAAAGCTAAAGCGGTGGAAATCATAGATCATTCAGTAGGTGTCAGTCAGCAGTCCAGTCAGATGGGTGGGGTACAAATGATAAAATTATTGTTATTGTTATTATTTTTATTGATTAGAATGTTGGACTAGGATCTGAGAGACCAGGGTTCAAATCCTCGTTCAGGCAAGAAGCTCACGGGGTGACCTTGGGCCAGTCACTATCTCTCAGTTTAACCTACCTCACCGGATAATTGTGAGGATAAAATTGGGAAGGGGAAGAAGCATGCATGCCACGTTGAGCTCCTTTGAGGAAAGGTAAGATGTAAATGTAAAAATAAATATAGTTCGTGGAATGGGAAGAGGCACCAGCTTACGCTTTTCCCCAGGCAGCAAAATGTCTTGAGTTTTGCCTTGGCTAGAGCGTCACACAGTGGCATTGTTTCACTTCTCCCCAATCTCCCAACAGTGTGAATTTCCAGGGATCCCAGGCACTTACCCAAGGTCTGGTTTCCTCAGAATGAGGGACAGCAAAGACTGTGGTGTCATCAGGATATGTATTTTTTTACACAGATATACAACCTGAGCCTACTATGGAGGGGCTCGCAGCATTAACACACTAGAAGGTCTTGCTTTTCCCATAGTCATAGCCTTGGATTCCAGCAGAAACCAGGCATGGCTCTCACTCACTGGCTTCTGCCTGAAGCCTGTTTGTAGCTTTTAGTTCACACGCATGCCTTTTTCCTTCTCACCAACAGCCAGGTGAGGGGGGGGATCTACCCATTTGCCCTCTGGCACAAAGCCACTTCTGTTGCTACCCTAATGAGCCCTACATAGGGGACTACTACCCCTATGTATGGCCTGGCTATTCCAAGAATTGAATCTTTGCTGGATCCAGGAATTAGGTGGGTCTCAGGCAGACATACAGCCTAACTCTCTGACCCTCCAAACTCACAACAGTATTTATCTTCCCAGGGGACAACATGATAGGTTTGCCTACCATTTCAAGAGACAGGCCCTTTAGTGGCTGGTGGATCATAACTGGTCCCCCCCCCCAAGCAAACGTAGAGCTTCCTCTCAAAGTAGGGCATCATCTCTCCATATCCCTGGTGGTTTATTATATGAGTCAGAACTCTTGAGTTGCTCTTTATAGAATTCATGAAAAGCAGCGATTACCTTTGGCTTTCCCCACTTTTTCAGGTCGTTCAGGTTTGCCGCTCCTGTCAGGCTTTTCTTTCTTTTCGGGCTTTTCATGTCTTTCGGGCTTTTCTTTGTGTATCGCTACAAAAGGACAAGCATATTTAGGTACAAGATATAAAAACGGCATCTTGGTCAAATGGTACCATAGCACAATGGGGCTTTCAGACTAAGCTGAGGACAGATAGCATCCCACCCCCACCCCACCCCCCGGAACTGCTGCCTTTTACCTTCCCTTTATTTCAATGAAACTGTGGCATGCTTGCTGAGGGAATCCCATTTAAATGAATGGCTACGGCACAGCAGCAAAGCATAGGGGAATTTGTTCCTATCTCCTATCTATTACTGGGTTGACCTGCTGTTTGTTTGTTTAATATGGGAAAAGCTAATTATCATTGCCATTTTTTCACAACGCACTGGCTTCCAGTATCTATTTTCCTGACAAAATTAACTACTGACAGCTAGTTTTAATTTTTAAAGTATATCCACACACACACACACACACACACACACACACATTGCTAAGCTACTAAAACACACACATATAAACCCCATAATATAAAACTGGCAGGTGTGGGTGCTAAGAGTGCCAAGAAAAACTGGCTGAGGGCCAAAACAGATGTAGCGTCATGGTCTTGAGGAATACACACCCACACCCACACACCCACAGATCACTATTTAAGCACAGGAGGAAAACTCCCATGAGTGCCAACATAAACGTCGCTCCCAGGATTATCAGGAGAGAGTGCTGCTCTCAGGTTCTGCATATGGCTCCCTGTAGGCATCAGGTTGACCACTGTGAGAAGAGGATGCTGGACTAAGTGGGCCTTTGGCTCTTCTTATGTCCCTATGTCCTTCAGGGGAGGCATTTTCATCAGGACCATATTGTGGGTGGAAGATTACCCTGCTTCCCCGTGTCCCATGTTCATGGCCCTGCAACCCACCACCACAGTTGTTGTCTTGAAATAAAAAAACACATCAAATTCATTTGCACATTTAGCATCATGTCTATTTCGGCCCCGAACCTCTTGGATAAGAATGTCATTTCAGCTTTTGCTACTATGCAGTAACAATAACAAATCATCTCTAAAAATGGCAGAAATGTCCTAAACCCTGGTCCAGTGCTTTCAGGGGAAATGGACATTTATGTATTTCCCAGTCTGGCTACCTTTAGCAAGGAAAGATCTAGTCCAAATGATTAGTCAGGGAAGATTTTATAAGCTTGAAAAGAATCATAGACTTGTAGTGTTGGAAAAGACCATGAGGGTCATCTAGTCCAACCCCTAGCAATGCAGGAATCTTTTACCCAATGTGGGGCTCAAACCCACAACCCTGAGATCGAGAGTCTCACACTTTACCCCAAGAGTTGTTCCTATTTTCATTTTCAATTGTCTAAGCAGGAAAACAAAAAGGGTTTGTTGGCCAGCAACTTTTGTGGATTAGAATGGGGCTGACCACACTGACATCACTAGGATTTAGGTATCAAGGTCTGCAGCCGATAATTGCAAGAGATGGAGCTTTAGGTAAAAATCTATATTTTGCTTATTTATATATCCCTCCCTACTCACTCCTTCAGAATAAGAGGTTTATTTCGCCTGCTTGCTGTGGAGCGCTGGAAGCCTAGGGTAGATGCTTGAAAAGCAAGTGGAATGAGGGCGGGGGGGGGGGGAGCGGCAGAGTAGTAGACATAGTCTCAAATGACTTAAATCAATTTCAGTCAGATCCTGATTCAGGGAAGCAGTTCAAAATGTCAATAAGTGTTTTCATTAATGAATGATCCTGTACACTGCGGCATTATGGTGGTGAAAAATAGCATGCCATTTTCAATGAAAACTATTATCAGTGAGCAGCTTTGCTGGGGTCTAGGACTTTAAGAGAATAGCAAGTTGATACGAAACTGCTTTGTCCAACTATACCACATTAAAAAAGGCTAGCTCGGGGTGTGTTATTTTCACATCAAAGCAAAAGCAAGAGAGGAGGGCCGACTCCGTCTCTGGCCTTGATTATCAGTATGATTGTTGCAGAGCATGCAGGAATGTGAGCGCTTGTTCAAACCAAGCAAATGACGGATGTTTGTGGAGGCAGCTAATTACCCTCCAATTTTATTCTGGTTATTGTTTTTACACCCGCTTCTTAAGCACTTCACTTGACTGGAAATTAAAACCAGATATTGCTTCCTCTCTGCTGAGTCAAATGAAAGTACACAATAAAGTGGCTTTCACAGAGGAATCTCATTGGTGCCACTGGCACAGTGAAGAACTGCACTCTCTGGCACATCAGCCGAGACAGACTAAAACACTTTCTCATTGGCCTTAATTACAAGACATGATAAACCAGACCAGGCCATGCCAGAGGGGCACACACATGTGGGTGCCCAGAAGGGAGCTCACACCTGCTTTCTCCAGTCTTTTTTTAATCCTGTGGCATGCTGAGCTAGGCCAAGGCTAGGTCTAGTGTGTTGTCCAAACCTAGGCTCATGCTTAAGCTTGCTAACCACAAGCACAGATTCGGTTGACATACTGAGCTCTTTCCTTGCTAACCACAAGTTGTAGTCAGGAATGAATTTTGGGTGCAGTATGTGATCAGCAAGGAGAGAGTGTAACCACATGCTTAGATTCAGATAACACGCTAAGGTGAACTTTAACTTAGCTCAACCCAGGATTAATAAATACCAGGAAGGAGCAAAGCAACTGTGAGCCCTTCTCCAAGAGCCTGCACATTCGCAGAAAGTCATAGTTTGGCTTATTGTGTTGTGTGAACCAGCTCACTGTGTTGGAATTTGGGTCATAGCAATCTTTTATTTATAGCAGCAGTGTTCCTGTGGTTAAGGTCATCACGTTATCATCATTGGTGCCCACAGGGCAAGACTCTGGCGCAGGCATCCAGGGCCCCACCCAGCAAAATGAACAGGAGGACCACCAAGCACAGCAGGATTGGCTTACCACATTTTGAAGCCACACCCATTGTCATCTGAAGAGGGACCATTTTGCTCACTCATAATAATTTCTCCTGTGCAGAAGTACAGAGGTACGTGTGCACCTCAGCTATGTCCCTCAAATAACCACTTACCTTTAGAGATTTCTCTTTTTTCAGGTTTTTCTACTTTCTCTGCCTTTTCAGGTTTCTTAGCTTTCTCTGGCTTCTCAGGTCTCTCAGGTTTCTCTGGCTTTTCAGGTTTCTCTTTGGAAATTGCTAGAAATAATAACACCAATATATTCATGTATCTGAAATATGCATATAATATATTTTATTATATACATTCATGTATATACATCTATCTTAAAGAGGTACACCAAAGAATAGTGTCTAACTCGAAAACACGCACTTATAGGTCCTGTGATGTCTAAGACATTGAGGAATAGTGACTTGCAGTACAATCGTAAGCATTTTTATTCCAGACACTAATGCACATGAGCACCTGCACCCTCCCTCTGCCTTACACACACACAAGCACACACACAAAGAGATGGACAGACACACACTCTCATGGGCGTGCAAACAGACACAACTTGCTAACTACAATATTGTAATTTATATTGTAATTTAATGTTGTGAACTGCCCTGAGTTCCACAGATGAAGGGTGGTATACAGATTTAATTAGTTAATTAACAACTCCCTCACTTGCCTTCCCTCTCATTCAGCTCCCCAATCAGCTGTTGAATGGAAGAAGGCACACAGTGTTAACAAAGAGGGTGAAGATCACAATCGTGCTCTTTGAGTTGTTCCATCGGTGAAACAATTGCCCCTCTCCTTTCCATGCACGCTGTTCCAGGGTTTCTCCTAACTCTCACCCAAGCCAATTTCAAGGGTGACGGGCGTAAGAAGAGGGGGGGGGAGCATTATTGTACAAGTGTAAATCTGTGTGCAGAGCTTCTACTGACAGGAATGGTGAGGTGAATTCCACCTCATGATGCCACCATGTGCCTCCTCAGCCAATTGGTGTTGGGAGGAGCTGAAGAGTTCTCTAGTTGGTGTTTGAACACTGACAGTTGTTTGGCTGGCTGAGGAGAATGTGATTGCCATCTTGAGGTGCATGTTGTGGGACAGCTGGGCAACCCACAACCAGGCCCAAAGAAAGGTCTGTGAGGGCCACAGGAAGTAGGTTGCCCTTGTGTGTTTTATAAGTCTAACCTATTCTGCATTGGTGGTAGTGGTTGTCATTAGAAATTAGTTTAGCTTCAAGATGGTGAATTAGCAACAATGTTTCTTTAGTAAGTGTATCTCTTCAGGGAAATCTGCATTTTCAAACACTGCTAGCTCATGGCCTGCCACACAGAATTAGCACCCACAGACAGCTGCCAGCTTACACTGGTATTGCTGCTGTCCCCCGTTTCTGCATTAAAGACATTTAAAAATCTTCAGAAACTGCTTGGGAAAATGCTCCCTCAGTAGGGGAAAGCAAGACTTTCCTGATAAAAATAACTTTCCCATGAACTTAAGCAATATTCCTTAGCACAAGAGAATGACTGGTGAGGGATGAGTCTGATGAATTTGGGATTTTAGGCAGCCCTTTCTTCCTTCTTGCAAAAGCTTCTGGCAGACAGCAGAGGACAGTTGTTGCATTATTCTCACCCTGCCCTGAGAATAAACTCCCAGATCCTAGATTTAGTTCCTCGGAGAATAATAACAACGCACCATCAATTTATAATGAGACAATAAGAACGTGCATGGAGTTTCCAGAAAGAAAACAATGGACGGGGCACTGTAATGGCAACAAAGGGAGAAAGAGGTCCTTAAACAAAAAAGGATGATTCTTTTTTTGAGACGCTTTCTTCCTTTGCCTGCAGGAGCTTCCAAAACTCACCCCATCACAATCCATCATTTACATCCTCTGCCGTATCTCCAAGCCATCACCTAAGAGCATTTACACCACCACTAACCCAGCATGACACACTCTCCTCCATGACCGTTTTTGAACCCCTTCTCCTGGTTCCATCCTTCAAGCCTGAATACAACCACCACCATAGCACTCCTTCTCCCACTCCAAGCGCTCCTTAACAACTTCCTGTTCTGGGCTCTGAAGTGCTACTTTAACACCCTAATTTGTGTTACTTGTGGCTTCAGGGACATTGAATCTAGTGGGTGGTAGTGGGTGAAAGGTGGAGAACCACTGACTTCCTTTATTTTGAAAGTCATGCTGAAGCCCCGGCGTGCTTCCATAGCCTTGCCCCAGAGAATATTCCATGTCACCAATCCAAGCGATGTCAAAATGTTTAATCATCCCTAGAATTTTAAGTCTCCTATTTTGGCAGCACCTGCCATTCTCAGATAAGCGCATAGCCTTCAGACACGGCTCTTTCTGCGTCCTTATGAGGAAGTGGTGGTCACTGTTGTCCTACAATCCAAGATTAGCATATTGTGCTGTGAGGATGCTGCCAAGGCTAACCAGGCAGGCCTGGCAAACTAATTAGAACAATCCCTTATCCTATATTTGGTGGCAGGAAAAGAGATTTGCTCATCATGCCAATACATTCTGCAATTATCCACATCCCCCTCTGTTTACCCAGCTAATTGGTTGCACCAAGGAGACCTCGATGCTCCGTAATTCTTTTTGAAACATCTTTAACGGCAAACTGTGTAAATGTTACTGGTCAGTATAAGTGCAAAATGAATGCTTTTGGAATTGGTCCTCTGCATCACAGTAAATGTTTCCATTTTGGTTTGCACCATGGCTGATTTTAAGCCAGCCTGATATTTGTTTATTTATTTTTGCCCATGGCAAGTTTTTAATTCAGCCTCCGAAAGGCTGCTCAGCAACACAGCAAAAGGTCACTCTGTGTTCTCACTGCAGCTGCTTCTGTCTTCACGGGAGAGTGAAAGAGGCAAGATATTTTGTAGTGCTCTCCAATGCCTTATGAACACAAGTGTCTGCAATGAAGATTAGCACCTACGCATTTTGCCTCATATATCTGGTTCTACAGGGGCTAGAGACTTGCTTTTCAAGCATAAAAATGGAAGCACAGATTCCTGGCCAGCCAGTGAAGCTAACAGGCTCTTAATGCTGGGTTAGCAAGTCATATGACTGAGCTGAATGGGCTTAGAGTGCAGTCTAATATCCATTAGGGTCAGCTCATCTGGCTGAGCCCCCACTGAACCGGATAACCTATTGATTGGTGGGTAAGGCTTTTCACTCCCAGAGCAGATATTTGTGTGTTTTCAACTGTTTCTGAGGAGTTCTGCACATTCTTACAAACAGAACACACTTGGAATAAAATACCTTTGGGTGGAGGCTTCTTTTCAATTTTCTCATGCTTTACAGGCTTGTCTGGTTGGATTTCTGGAAGCAAAACACCAGTTAGTTCCTGGAAAGCAATTTTAAAAGTACATTGGAAAAACAACAGTGCCAGTTAGCTAGTGCACTGAATATTT